TTTTGGTCCACGGCGTCGAGTATGTTCTTTGCCTGCATGCATCAGGTCATATGATAGTGGTATCAAAAAGGCGGTTACGAAAACAGCGTGTTGTGAATGTTCTCTAGATGCCTGGCACATCTTCCGCCTTTAAAATCTCGGTAAATGCGAAGCGTCAGCTGAAATACTGGCAGGGGTGACCGCCACGTGGAACCTATTTACGTTTTTCAATTAGGGCACCAGAGTTGGTTCATCTTAACGTGAAAGCCGTGCTTTAGTCGCAGCAACCGTGAAATTCCAGCAGGAAATCTGCAAGTGTACAAGTGTCTGCTGTAAATGAAAATTTGTTTCTTTCGAACCTGTAACCCCCCTGCTATAATGCCTTCGGGCGCTGCAGGTATACTTCGAATAAAGAATAAAGATACAAAACTCAATGTATGAGCAGACTCACCGTGAGATCACGTCGAGCAATCCATTGCACGGCGACGTCTTTCCGGACACGGCTGATCCTACAGTTCTTCGTCGATGCGACTGCCGAGATGGAACAAGGTGTGGCAGCACAAAACGCAGCTGTCTCCGCGATTTTGAACCCACAGACTGTTCCTTCAAACTAACCCGGTGGGGGACGGAATGCAAAAACTGCAAGCTCACAGAAGAAAAGCGTTCGTCATCGGCCTCACAAGTGTCCTTTGGTCGTTATCGGGATGCGTAGGTGGGCGTACCACTTTACTTGTGCCATGAATGAGGGATGGTTGCCTTTTCAAATTTGAGTAAGCGACATGCGCACATGTTAGTATACAAATCTAACGGATCAAAGTTTTTCAAATGCGAGGCATTCGCACGTGCATCCTGTGAAGTTTGCATGCTTTCACGTGCGCGTCATCTGTGCGCGTGGTTTTTTGGTCGTGAGCAGTGCAGTGGCATACCCAGAATTTTTTCCGGTGGCGGGGGATAATGTCATCTGGTTCCCCCTTAATATATGTTCGTACGTGTGTTTATATGGCAGCGCGTGTGTACAAACGTACAAAAAGGCTAATGCAATGAGGAGGAAAGGGGGGGGGATTACCTTCCCAAGATGTTTTAGCTCCCGTCTTGCTTTTATGTGGTTTTATCGTGGTCAGCGTTTAGTTTAAGCGGTATCATGTCTGTACCTCGAATCCCGGCTGCAACGGCTCCATCTCTGTTGGAGGCGGAAATGTTGTAGGCCCATGTGCTCAGATTTGGGTGCACGGTAAAAACCGCAGGTGGTCAAACTTTTCGGAGCTCTCCACTACGGCGTCTATCATAATCATATGGTGGTTTAGGGACGCTAAACTCCACATATGAATCAACCCTTCTTTATTCTCAGCACCTATCCACCAGCAAGGCGGGTACCTTTCGGTAGGTTGTTATTACTGTGTGTGGTGCATGTTTTCAGGCTGCTACGCTGACTATACTGTATTCAAGGAGCGCGCTCTAGCGACATGAAGCATGAGTACGGATTCAGGACAATCTCTGATGGACATCAGCCTTCGCTTTTTATTCGGATAATACGGCTGACTTAGCGGGGGTATCATTTTTCTTTCGCCACCTTCAGTGACCTTACCCGTCTCAGTTTGTGGGTGTACATATCTACGATTTCTCCATTTATCTACCTGCTACACGTGAACAGAAATGTCGGATACTGCAGATTCATGCGCAAAACGCCTGCTGTAAAACTTGGATTTAAAAAACTTGCTGCTGATAAGTTTTTTTATGCTCCTGGAATACGAGATTCATGTTATATATTACCATTCATCGTCCTCGCCTCATTTAGGCCCAGCCGGCCTGATGTCGAAATAGTGACGTAGCTAGCCAACTACGAAAACATAATCGCAGATGCAGGAGGTCCCCTTGCATATTGAGCGTTCGTTTTGTCAGTTCATCAGATGTTCTGCAGATAATGGCTGATCTTCGGAAATGCTGCACATTGTTGCCTAGAATTGCGCAACTGGTTCTGGATCGCTATCGTCTATTAGTAAACAAGTAAACAAGGATCGCTATCAGCTAATATGCTAGCGTGACTATACCTGGGTGGAAAAATGGCATCTGAAATAAGTCCTAGGCATTATATGACAGTGAACCCTGAGAGGAAGCTTCTGCTGGAACGTTGACTATAACATCGGTGAACACGCGTAGTCACACGTGGCACTGCGAGGGTTGGTTTCAAGGTTGCACACTTTGGCGCGATCATCGGAGGGCTCATTTGCGGTCATTGAAACTTTTTTTATGAGAAATACGGCGAACTCTGCAGTCATTCTTTCTGTGTGTGCCTCTTTTCATCATTTAAAGTTTGTTGAACTTCATTCAACGTCAACCAAGTTACATTTTATTGCACAATATATGGTACGTCCCACTGCTATTATTTACTTATGGAAGAGCCCAATGAATGAATGAATGAATGAATAGACTTTTATTTAAAGTCCGGCGGTTTTACAGGACAAGGTGGGGGAAAAGGGGATTAACCCCTCTCCCTTCCCACTCTGCGTTGATTATGATGGCGGTGCCTCTGGGGACCACTCGAAGTCCTTGCACCCGGGCGGCATCTTCAGCTTGTCGGATGGCCCAAAGCTGGTCGGCCAGCTCGTCGCTTGTGAGTGCCGCTTCCCAGCGGCAGCGCAGCTGACGCCGCCGATCGGCAACAGTGACCGCAGCCGCGGCGGAGGCCGGCCCCTGTCCTCGCGTGGTGGTGGCAGCAAAATTTTATTTGCACATTTATTATTTGCTATGACCATTGCTTCTGGTGCCATGTAAATGTGCGTTTTTAGGGGTGAAGCTCCTTAAGACCTCCCGATGTCCGCCGTCTCCCGTCTGTCCGTAACTCGTTTGCAGACAGACACAAATATATATATATATATATATATATATATATATATATATATATATATATATATATATATATATATATATATATATATATATATATATATATATATAACCACGTTCCATACCACACATTCTCTTGTCTCATATCGACGAAGACGAACGCAGGAAAGCGTGACGTGCTGAGTATCAGCGTCGCAGTTGACGGAAAGCTACCACGAAGACAGAAGAGAAGGCAGCGGATGCAAAGCAGCGATGGTGACAACAAAGTTCTACACCACAAACTAGGGCTAAGGAAGCAAAAGCTAAGCGGGAAAAACGCCAAGCTGACGCGCAGCAGACACAACTTGGAGCGGATGCAAGGCGGCAATACCGACAAGAAAATTCTACACCAGAGACGATAACGAATGAAATGTGATTATGAAGTCAAAACGTAACCCGGAGCTCGGAACCTCATATCAGCTATAAAGAAGAATCACCGCTATATCACAATCGGTCTCAGCACTATCTCTTTGAACAAAAAATATATGAGTATCACAACCACAATCAATCTCAGTACTACTCCAGTGTCTAAGGTACTCGGCTGCTGACCCGCAGGTCGCGGGTTCAAATCGCGACTGCGGCGGCTGCATTTCCGATGGAGGCGGAAATGTTGTAGGCCCGTGTGCTCAGATTTGGGTGCACGTTAAAGAACCCCAGGTGGTCAAAATTTCCGGAGCCCTCCACTACGGCGTCTCTCATAATCATATGGTGGTTTTGGGACGTTAAACCTCTCATATCAATCAATCAATCTCAGTACTATCTCAACTTTAATCCCAATAATCACCTCCGAAAGCTTCGCCCCGTAATTATCTTCAAGCAGCTTGAAATGCAGGGATTTTTTTATTGGCATGTCTAGAGAAGCACTCTAGCTGTCATCTTATTGAGTTTTACGATTGTTTTTGTTGACAAAAACAACAAAATAGGGACAATGACGTTTTAATATATCTGTACATTAGGAACGCCCACGTTTGTCTATTTCAGAAACTGCTTAATAACTTTTCTTTTTAAGAAAACAAACTAAAAGGTGGCGAACAGCTGCCGTACCAAAAAACTATACACACATGTTTTGTGAGCCCGTTAATCAGATGCACTTACGTTACAAGTGTAATCGCCAGCTAGACTCACTTCGTTTCTCAGTTGCATCTATTATCGGGCGTAGTTATTGGCATGCCCGCGTCTTTCGAGCGCTTGCGCACTCGTTATCTTCCGGAAATACTAGAAGCTACACTACGTCACGTGCTCAGTGCTCGCGCAAAACTGGAAAAAAAAAGGAGAGATGTTTACATCGCACTGTTTAGGCATATAGACCGAGCCGTAAATATGGGACGAGCTTTATTTTGCACCACAAATGATTTCTTCGTTTCCTCCAAAAAGTATACTTAAAGGGCCCTCCAGTAATTAAAGCAGCACCTTGTAATCATTTCTTACCTGGCTTACGAATGCCTTACGTTAGCGCATTGCTAAGACGTAAAGCTAGCAGGCTTATTCAGCGTAGGTGCTATAGTGAGCAATATGAGCTCGAACACGCTAGCACGAGTCACGCTGACTATAGTTCATTCAAGCAGCGCACTCTAGCGCCATACAGCATGAGTACGGATTCATAACAATCTCTCATGAACGTCTACCCTCGAAGCCTACATCGGCATTGCTGCTGCAAAGCAGGGTCTTGCCAGTGGCCGCAAGCAGCGATATGAATTTGCTTCAATGCACCCAGCCAGACACAGCGACCCATCAGGCTATGCAGCAGCCAAGATATCACCGGTGACGTAGCCAGCCGTCATGCACAGGCCATGTTTGGCACTTGCCGAGGATTCTGATACGGCTTCCTCATTTTGTTTTCATGAAATTTTTTGCACTATCATTGCTCGTGGCTGTTGCAACACAATTAGCAGCAGCTTTGCAGTATTGCTAGCACAGCGGCAGTGCCATCTGTAAGCGGAAGACCGTCCTAGTTTCTCCTTTCGTTTCGGCAGCGCCATACACGTACCATGCTATCTTGGTTGCGAGGCTATTTGCCGTGCGCTCTAAGTAATATTGCTCACGATAGTACATAGACGAAAGGCGTGCTCCCTTCGCAAACTAATAGATGGTGCTCAGCCACACAAATGATAATTGCGAATTAATTTGAGTCGAATAGCTGCTGCTTTAATCACGTTTCTTTATTTACTGTTGGGAGATTGTAACGTGATTTACCACCTACAGGTAGCTTTTTTAGACATGTGTGACGACATGCATCTTGTCAAACTGTGGCGTTAGCCGAGTGACTTCGTAAAAAAGCTTCAACAGGTGTCCTTGTCGTTAATCTGCGAAAACGTCGGTGATCTGGAAGTGCAAGAAACTTGCTTGTCGTTACTGGCACACTTGACGGAATGCGATTTTTGGTTGAGGTACTGGAATATGACGTCATCTGAAATATAATCACACACGAGTGCAGTTGGACTTGAGAATCACTGGTCTTCTCACAGGGATACAAAATCGCGATTCGTGTGTTTCGGTTAAAAGGAAGGTGCTTTTCAGAATAGTGGATCGAGACCGAACTGTCCCAGGTTTCATTTTCAGGACGCAGGCGGAGACGTTCGGCAGTTGATTGAGCGTTTCGTTCTTTCTTTCAAGACATTGCATTTTAGACAGTGCTGAAATGGCTAACTATTGGCGCTCTTTGCTCCACATTGTGGCAGTACACATTGGAATACTCTGACAATCGCGAATTTTTTATCGCTCCCTGTTAGGTTCAACTAGATCTTCGTGTACCCGTCTCAAGCTTTCACTTAGTTGTAATGACAACCCAGTCCCTTTTTTTCACTCGGGTGTCGGTGCGTGGGGACTATATGAATACGTTCGGTTGTGGCAAGCCACATCAAAATTCTGGCCTGTCGCCACATATCTGCCCTGTACCTTTCCTTTGGAAATGGGAAAATGAAATACTAGTCCTCTCCTGCGCACGCGTTAGGATCGTGTGAATCTGCGCGAATGCTCAATAGTTTCTGGGTGGCCTAGATAAAGATTTGATGGCTGAATAAAAAAGTTCTTGTCTGCCGTTTAATTGCGTTGTCTCAGTGTGGATATAAAGCGGTTCTCAAACACTAATCCTTCCCTCTTCTTTGAATACCCTTGTAAATAATAGCGTGCTAATTAATTTCGCTCCAACCTCCAAACTGGTTCACGTCATCACCGGTTTCCCATTATTACTTCCCATGCTTCGTGGTACCCGACATGCATTCCGCGATACGAATTGCAATTTACCGTCGACCAAATAAACGTAAGTTGCTTTGTGTTCCCACAAGTTTCGTCCTTCCGGTTACATTGCAATTTTTGTCCACATAGGAATTGCACGTTTTCTCTTCGTTATGGCAGTGTCACTTTGTCAGCCATCATGTCTAGTACAGTGAACCCTTGTTTCTTGCGACTCCACGTTGTTGAAATTCTTAGGGCCCTTGAACGTCGTAGCCATCGAATCAAGCCTTTCGTTCAGTTTTAGTTGTGGCGGGCACAATTTTTTCTGCGCTGGTTTCCAATTGGTTGGCGAATCTGGCGACACAGATGATGGGGTTATCCCGTTGTCGAATGGTTGGGGAGCGAGAGATGTTCTTGTAATATAAGAACACACTGCCTCCTTTGATAGGGGCTTCTGCTGGACCACCTTATCTTTTTGTTGAAGCGGCCACCATGGCAATCGCTCAAATGCAGGGAAGCAAGTTGTCGCAGTGATGGCTTCACTTGCAGATTTTTCAGGGTATACACTCGCCGACGGCTTCCCCCAGAGACAATACTCAGATGTCAGCATGCTACTACAGCTAGACAACTCTTCCTCGCAGCTCTCGTGCGTAATGTCCACCGGTGTTACTCGATGTGAGGAAGGCCACTCCATCACATCAATGGCGCTGTCTTCCTCAGAGGAATCACTGAAAGATGTTCGGCGTTCTTTTAGCTCTGAACTTTCTTGGTTGTGTTTCATCGTCATTGACTGTTCGTGCATAAGACCCGGCGAAAGGCGACTGTAGTTTGCCTGAGACATATTGGGCCACGATTCAGTGCACTCTACGTCTTCACGATCCGAAGGTTTAACTCTCGTTTCTTGTGTTTCGGCTGCCTGGTTCGGCAAATCAACTACGCTACTCTCCAACTTTCTCAACATACCATCGACATGATTGTCCAAAGATGGTTTAGGCGCTAGGGAAGAATTGAAATCGCAAGGTCCACAGGATGAGTAGCTATCTGTGTTGGAGCACACTGACTTCCGCTCACTAGCTATGATGGAAGGAAGTGACATCACAGACTTGTGTGTTTCGTCTCTATCATTAGACTGGTCCTCTCGTTGCCCAGGCGTAAGAGAATGCAGTGTCTTTCCTGGGAGATCGACTTGATGGTCGCTGTAATCAGGGTTCATTACCTGTTCCGCCATCTTTCCTAAGACCTGCAGCAGTGTCGGTGATGTACGGTCATTAGCCAAACATCGATCTCTCAGAAGGGCTCTCCATGCTCCCTGAAAAGACACCCAGGATTCGTCAAAGGATGCAAGCTCCTCCCGAAATTTCGGCATTATCTGCAGCAGAATAAGGGGTACCGGGTCTGCCTGGCTCGCAGGGGACTGAGTGTCTGTACATCCATTTTCACTCACACGTGGCGAAGGTCTTTGGTAATTCTCTGTCCCTGACTTACGTATTGGCCTTCCAGGCCATGTTTTCTCACCATCAAAGCTTGCTGCTGGTCCATGTGACTGCTGTGGGTGGGAATTCTTCACAGTAGTTACTTTTCCGTTTGCTTCGCCAGGACATTCCGAAGATGAAAACGAGGCGCTTCTAGACGGTAGTTCTTGTCTAGCATATGTTCTTTCGGTTTTACATTCAGGATTGTGGTCATGACGGGTCGAATTCTGTTCCCGCCATTTTCGAGGTACATGTTGGGCCAAGTAAGAAGATTCTGCGTGGAGGCTGTTTGATGAATAGCGCGACTGTTGGAAGAGTTCTCTCTTCTGCCTCATCTCGAAGGTGCCGTACAACCGTTCATACTGATCCTTGTGTGGCGTTCGTGGTTGGGGACAGATCTGTTCCGCAGGGGGCGGCACTACTAGTGGACCATTTAGGCTGTCTCCACGAACTGGTGGGGAAGGCGCTGGAGTAGCGTCACAAACTGGTGATGACACGTACTGCCGGTATCGTTCTGGCCCTCGAGCGCAGCCTGCATTGAAAAGAAGTTATCTGTAGAAATGTTTTCTGGCATGGTCCTGTCTCTTTACGACTGCAACTCACGCTTTGGTATCACGTAAACGCCACTCCCGACAGAGAGGGACGATGGTCGAGCAGGTCTTTGCAATACGTCCCGGTAGCATGTAGTTCTGCCTTCCATAACGTTGTAGTAATGTCTGTCCAGGAGAACGTAATGTTCGTCTCGGGATCTTGGTATCACTTGGCTTGGGGCTTTTTTAACCTGCATTTAGAAAAATATTGCATTTCGACTAAACATCAAAATACAGAAAAGAACTAAGAAGGGAGTTCTAGTTTGTCGTGTGGGACGGCACGAGTTGATGCAGTAAAATAAGTACAAGCACAATGAATGAATACAGTGTTCCTGTTAAAAGAGAATTCATAAGAGCAGACTTGCCAATGTTGGCCAACATTCGACATAATTTGGTCAACATGGCAACACTTGCCGGAATTTCCCACTAGCATTGAAACACAAGAACCATAAGCAGTAATACAGCTGGATTGAACAGTCTTGAGCAAGCGTCAAACGGAACGAGTTCCATGAGAGACACCTCTCACATCGTTGGCTAAGACCGGTCGAGGAAGGAGGTCGTTTTCAAAGTGCGTTTCTAAACAAAAAATTCAAATTGTTTGCTTAAGCAGGATATCTGGCATTATTTGTATGTATGGTGCAGAAAAAAGTCAGTGTCACTTTCGTGTTGTGGTTACTTCAGTAAGCGTCATCAAACCAGTGACGCCCCACCGCAGTGGTGTAGGGGCTAAGGTACTCGGCTGCTGGCCCTCAAGTCGTGGGATCGAATCTTCGCTGGGGCGGCTGCATTTTCGATGGAGGTGAAAATTCTTAAGGCCCGTGTGCCCAGACTTGGGTGCAGGTTAAAGAACTTAAATGGGGTCGAAATATCTGGAACCCACCACTACTACGGCGTATCATATGATCATCTAGAGGTTTCGGGATGTTAAACATAATATATCAATCAAATGAACAAGTAACAAATTATTCTTCTATTCAAGTGTGTAAAGCAGAGCGAAGTGAGTGCGTGATGGGAAGCCTGAGATTTTTTTTTATTTTTAGTTCTAATAACTTTCCTAGACCACTTCAGCCATATAAAGTAATGAAACGTGACGTATCGTGTCTAATTTAAGACAAACTCACTAACACGATCTTCAAACATACCTAGAAACACTAAATTGTAAACGAACAAAAATGTTCAGAAATGGAAATAAATCTCGCTATAAGCGAATTACTAGGTACCTCTGATGCATAGAATACGCATAAAAAGTTCTACACTTTCCTCATTCAGTCTCAATGGAATTCTGAGCTGTTTACACTTTTTAGTTATCCGTTTGCATCCATTTTTATTCTATATCTGGTAATTAAAAAAAAAACTCCACAAGTTCTCATATCAAATAATTATACTTAGTTGGTGTCAGATCGTACAGTAACAGAGGTACCGAATGCCTTGGGTTAGCAAACAACTGTACCAAGAAATAGAAGTTAAAAATCATACGCAGGACTTGTGCTAACTGAGCGTCCTTAACTTGCCCCGTGTGTCGTGATGGGTGCGACAGTATATGGGCGAGACATTTTCATATCTCCCCTGAGCGGAAAGCTCACCAAAGAACAAACTGACGTTGGGAAAATATCAGTCGAAATCAAGAAGGAAAAAAAATGGGCCTGGGTAGGGCATGAAGCGTGTAGACTTTATATTCTTAAGTCATTGAGAGCCACTGACTGCATTCCAAGAGGAGGTAAACGCACCGAAAAGAGAAAGATTTGATATAAAGATTTGCCGGGAAATTTGGCCGCAGTAAGCACACGGCAGGGTCAGTTTGATTGGCGGAGAATGAGAGAGGTCCTTGCCTTGCAGTAGGCGTAGTCAAGATGGGGACCATGATGAAAACCTATACCATACTTTTAAGGATACTGTGGATCTACAGCGTACACGATAATTCAGATCAGCTGAGTTGGGAATTCACAGTCACGGGAACGCATTGAAGTATGTAAAATTTGACAATGTTTCTGGAGAACACGAGTAACAATTCATTGTATTGCTGTGAGGGCATATCTAGCAAAAGTGAATAAGCACCTGAAATTAGACCTCGACTGTATTCAACCACTGATTGGTCTTTAGGTAATGGCCTAACGTCACCTAACGCAACTCTTGCGCGTGCTTTAGCACCTTGCTGCTTGGCGGAACTAAATGTAACCCGGTTTTCTTAATAACACTGTAAATTCGGGAACGATAAGTAGTTATACTGCTATGTTTTAATCTATGTCGAGATCTTACAATTAACGCCGATAACCATCAAAGCGGCTTGAGACAGATTATAACTGAGATACGCTCACTTGAGACGCTCGAAAAGTGCCGCGTAGAAATGTGAAGTTGTACCCAGATATGAAAGGTATTGTCTGGAACAAATACCGTCGCCATAGAGAAACTCATTTTGCTACAATGTTTTGGAACATGTACCAAGTGTCATAAATTTTCACAGTAAGCATTAATAAAAAAAATTAAATAAACGAAGCACGTTGCCGTAACGTTGCCGCAACGAACCAAAGAGTAGTCGAGGCTACTAGAGGAGTGCAGTTCACTACAAGATAACGCTTGTTTTCGGTTTTCCGCGACACAAAAGCAACAAAATTATTTGAGCTCTATTAACTCGCATGTCCAAAGAAAAACATTTCCTTTTCGCAGATCGTCGAGCAAATTGGTTCTTGGCGACACCGCTTCCAGACCACAAGAGGTCATTGTCTTGAGTAAACAAGGGGCGTGTCTGATTGGCTCAAGTATAAGAGAAACACATTTTTCAACATGAGCTGGAGGGCACTACCTCATAAATGCCACGCTTATGCTTTCGCGGCCGATCCCTAAACAAAATCAGAGCACAGCCTTGCCCCGCCGCGGTGGTCTAGTGGCTAAGGTACTCGGCTGCTGACCCTTAGGTCGCGGGATCGAATCCCGGCTGCGGCGGCTGCATTCCCGATGGAGGCGGAAACGTTGTAGACCCGTGTGCTGAGACTGTCGTGCCCGTTAGAGAGCCCCAGGTGGTCGAAATTTCCGGAGTCCTCCACTACGGCGTCCCTCACAATAAGAGGGTGGTTTTGGGACGTTAAACCCCACATATGAATCAAGCAGAGCACAGCTTTTGTAACCGCAGTCGACGAAAAGACAGTATAGTGGTAATCGTTAACAAACAAGTTACGCACCATCTTCTGGAGCCCTTGATAGAGTATGCAACGATAAGATATCGGGTTTTACGCCCACAAACAACGATATGATTATAAGAGACACCGTAGGGAAGGGCTCCGGAACTTTCGAGCGCCAAGTGTTCTTTAACGGGCCTTGACAACGCACAACACATGGGTCTCTGGCCTTTCGCCTACTTTGGAATGCGACTGCCACGGACGAAACACACGACATTCGAGTCTTAACAGAGCATGTCTCCGAGTGCCAGACAAGAGCAGCGGAAAGAAAAAAACCAAGCTTAACCAGCACGCTGAGCAGGCGCCCGATTGCCTGCGACGTCGCTATATCAAGCCACGAAGACTGCGATTCATTCTGCTCAAGAGAGCTACAGCTCCAGAGGCAATACGACGGCTGTAGTAGAGGGCAAAGGAGATCGCCATAGCTTGGTACGCCTTTATTCTACCTAGTCTTGCCCACTGTGCCCTTGTCTATCTGCACTATTTCTAAATCAAACGACTGTTCACGTCGTGTCAGTACCTCAAGGTAGTCCTTTAAAACCTAGAAACTAAATGAATCAACCCACCCATGGGAGTTCTTGAATCAAGGCGGATTCCAAGACATAAATACCACATCGTGATAATGACAAACTACGCCACAATAATAACCTTGTATATGAACAGGCCGCATCAAGAAGTTGACACAGAGAGTGGTTACTATATAAAATTGTGCGTCTTACCAGACCCTATTGGCCGATGATCGTGGGCCGCAGTGCTTCAGGAACCGCGTTGAAACGCAGCGTGGCCCGGTCTGTGACAGCCACCAAAGCGGAAGCACGAAAGCTCAAGCGCAATGGCTGCTATTGCAGCGCCACAACGGCTTAGATATGCCTTGTGATCGCATCTGCCTAAAGTACGTGTGTGTGATGATGGCATTCCAATGGTGAACGTCTCGTTGCATTTCTGAGGCGTGTTATCAGTGTGGTTTAACGTCGCGACTAGATTGATAAAATAATATTGCTTGATCAACGCAAACACTACAGTACTTTGTCGTCGCAGATTCCAGCTAGCTATTCATTCAATACCGTAGATTGTTTTTCGTGATACCGGGAAAGACAGATACCTCGAAGATCGTCGTTGTCGTGTTTTTTTTTTTCTCGCGTTGCTTGCATTCACAAACAGACCAGTAAATAGGCCTGCACACGAAAGTGAATCCAGTATAGGTGTGCGGCAATGGTGAGGAATGATAAACAAAGGAGTAAAGGAGTCATTTTGTGTGCATTTGAACAGTGACACAGGTACAGTAATGGCATTTTTATGTTGCCCATGTTCAGCGCTCAACGCTACCATTTTGTTTGAAGGAGAAAGTTTTGGATGCCTCATTGAACACTGTCTAGAGTGTTCAGCAGCTGACCAGAAAATGTGGGTTCTGTACCGGCAGTGGCGGTCCTATTTTGTTAGAGGTGCAATGGTAGAAACCCTTGTACTGTTCCATATCTGTACACATTAAAGAACATCAGATGGTTAAAATTTTTGGCAGCGCTCCACTACGGCGTCTCTCATAGTGATGTGGGGGTTTTCGAACGCAAAACCCCAGATATGGTTACTATTATGAGATGCATTATCAAATGCATAAATTGAGCAGCATCAGACGTTGGTGTTATCCGCTTAACGTTATTTATGTAGCAGGGTCTAGGCGGACGATCTACGCGAGCACCAGCACTTCATATCAGCTTACCGCTTCTGGTGTTGCTGATATTCATGTTGCTGTGGACACCGTTACGCATCTGTGAACCACCGGTGATATTAAACATACGCGGCTGTTTAATGTCGTTTCATGTTTGTGCGTGCATTTGTGCATAATTTTAGCGCGAATTCGTGACATTTAGCTAAATAAAAAGTTACCACCCAATCACCTTGCACTTGCATGCTTCTGATACACGTGCATGCTTCCATCTTTCACTTTTCATGCCGTAGGATTGCTGGTACGGTTAAAAGAAATATGACATGTGGGTGATAATTTCGGAAGGAGCCATGGTGGTAACACCAAGTAACAAAAATATAGTTCTTCGTTTGCAACAATACGTGAAGCCGGAGTCGTAAGTAAGCTAAATCTTTAAGCAGCATACTGGCATTGGTGGTCCGCAGAAAGAGGCACACGCGCTATAGTAAGGAATTTGTTTTTAGTAACACTTTTCAACAGTACGTTCAAAATTACATGCTTTATGATTCGTCAACCTTGATAACAGAATAACCACAACAGCTACCACTACGATTACTGAAGACCGGTAATATATCGTAATGCGTCACAACTCAATACATTTAAATATTGATATGTATACGTACAGACGCTTACTACTTGTTAACGGCGGGCGATTACTTTACTCAGGTTTTCTCTCCTAATGTATAATTAATAATGTGCTTACCTTGAAACACACGTTTGCCTGGAGGTCTGTACCTTTCCTATAGGTGACTAGTTGTGTTTGGCAAGGAGCGTCGAGTAAATCATTGTACTCTTGGTCGGGCCTCAGCAAAATTGTGCAAGGAGGTTTTGTATAGATTACACTACGCGCTTAGTACAACCAGACTCTTTCCAAAAGTGTAAACTAAGCTCGCGCCCACTGATACGCATTAAGCGTAACCCCTGCTTATGCGGAACTAAATCATAATCTGTTCGGCTAGAACACCGCGACACAACGTTCCTCGTATAGCTTGGGCTCTGTAGAGCACATGCGCACAGATATTTGACAGAGCGTTCAGCTACTTTACAATGGAGCCACTACTTAGCGAATGACTATACAGAAAAACGAAAGCAGCAGAATGAACTACCGGCCACTGCTCCTGCCTTGTATAGAATTTTTACTGAGTGCTGGTGTCATCCAGCACAGTCTATTCCTTGAATCTAGCACTCCATACCTTAAATAAAAATTGAACTAAGATGCAAAATTTGATAAGATGAGGAATTCTATTGCGTGAAGTATCACTTCAGCAGCAGTTTCCACCGTTTTTGAACGTATTTGCAGCAAAGTTACCTGAAGAAACCAAACTGCTCACGTACAAAACACTAATCCGTTCAGTCCTAGAATGTGCATCTACTGTTTGGAATCCATTTCGTGAAAACGATATTTACAGGATTGAGTCCATTTAGAAAAAAATATTTCAGCAAAGCATTCAGAAAAAAAACTACGATAGGCGCTTTTCAGCCTCTTGGGAACTTTTTAATTTATGTATGACTACATTGGCAACACGTCAGCGCGAAAAAAGTTAAAGTTCATGCATACCTTGATTGAGTACCCACATTCTGCCCACCTAAACGAGTACTTTCAGTTTGCTCAACCTTCCTGCACTCGTGCCTCGCATAGTCTTTATCTTTTGCCATTGAAATGTAGAACAGATTTGTACAAGTGTAGCTATTTTTCTGCAACGATTGACAGTTGTAATGCTTTGCCTGGGTTTATTCGTGCTTTTCCAATGACCATTTGTTTTGCTTGCACTTGACATGTGATGTTATCGTCACTCCTGCCGTAGCCCATGGCGGGCTACAGTAAAATTAAATAAATTATTTATTAAACAGTACGGAATGAGTACCTCAAATAATGAATGATATAATGTCATCTTAACCCGCCGTTGATCTATTGCTTTTGCAATATAGCTTGGCTGCAATTTTCAACACCGAAAACACAAACAACTTCTTGAACGAAGATTACAAACATTCCACATGGTCGCATCATACCGTAGATGTATTTTTACCAACTAGACTGACCGGGCAAGCAACGGGCTATTCGCTACCAAGATTCAACCGAGCGTACCAGGGGGGTTCGAGCTATGAAGGTAGCTCCGACGTGAGTATTTACTCTTTGTACCTCCAAAAAGATTGAGAAATAAAGCGGTAGAAACAAGCGGTGGAATGAAAATACTTTATTTGTCAATAGATTGTTTAAAAGGTCATGCTTGATCATAATTATTCACTAGTCAATTCCTTGATAACAGATGGCTCTTCGTTATCAGTGACACAAGCGGTGCATCTTGTCTTGTTACTTGAATGTGAGTCAGTGCTTCTACTTATCGGTGCTACGATGTAAAATAAGCGAGAGTTTTATGAATGAATAAAGTGAAAATGTGGTCGGCGCCTTCAGGGACACTTTGAAGTTCAAGTCTTGATCTCTTTGAGCGTAGTTACATACAACTGTCCTGCAAACTAATTCTAAGTGCACTGTGCCTGGAAAGTGTTTAGGTGAGCGCTCGAGTGATCGCTTTGTGCTCCAAGTAATCTGAAGTTGCTGATAAAGACGTCGAATGACACGCACAGCACACTGATACGTCCAAGAATCTGCCAGCACGGGGTTAGCTGTCGGGTCGACAAGTGATGCGACTGGGCTACCTAGGTTAAAATTGGAGCACAAAGCCTAAAAACATTCGAAAGATGTGTATGTGGCATGAATATTTCAAAATGTGGGTCTTCGTAATATCTTCTCTCTTGGCATCCAAAAGACGCAGCTACGCCACTCTTACTGCAGACAGGGGTTTGTAGCGAAAGGTGTCACGGTCTATAACTCTTTTCTCGTACGTGCAATTCGTCCAACATGCATCTCCATTTTGAATATTTTCAATCGCCGGGCTTCGAGAAAGGTAAGCTGTGCGGAGTCGGAATTCATAGACTTCTTCGAGGTGAGCACACTCAGCTACGTGGCGGAAGCATAACGTCACTTCCTTTGGGAACTTCAATGATATGAATTTTTCCGAAATTCTGGCGCTCAGTGAACTCGTATATTTATGCAGTTTTTTTAAAGATACACCAAGTCGCTGCAGCCGACGCGTCTTCTTCATTGCAAAGAGGAGCACTTTGATGTGCACAGAGAGATTGCTGCGACCTCTCACGTCCTGTCTGACTTGGTCGGCCTGCGACTGCAGGCTCGCTATGAGGTTTCTACTCGAGTTCTGTAATCCCAAAGAGCGAAAATAACTCTGAAGGGGAGAATGTGCGTGGACACCTCGAAGCATCTCGCTGGGCAGTTTCATCCTTGAAGATGCCATGTAGGGCAGTGGCAAACGTGGGCCTGCTTAAGGGAAGAACATCGAGCAGCGGCGTATCTGAGTGGGGTCCCTGGCTTCGATTGCCGGAAGGGTGATTTTGTGATTGTTCAACGTCCCACCTTAAACTGTTGGTGGAAACCAGATAATCAGAAGCGTCCGCATTGTGAGGTGTCCACTGTATATCACCGCTCTGTGAATATGGTAATAGCATGGGTACCTTTCTAGGTTTCCATGTCGTTCCACCTGTATTCCACTCCCATTTGCTGGCTTCAGCCTCGTCGTCGCTGCTTTCTCCCAGGTCTTGAAAATGCTGTAAACCTTCGTAGTGCCAAGTTGCATCACTTGTGTCGTGTTCATTTCCCGGGCTCTTCGTTAGTGCGGCTGAACGGTTGTGGATGACAGCTTCGACGCCAGCAGTTTGAATCGGCGAATGCCCAATCGGAGCGATTTCTTCGACCCATGGTCTCCTTTCAGTGGTACCTTTACAAACATCGCTGTACGTTTTCTTGTAGTGTGGTAACTCAAACAGAGGTGTTGCAAGACTGAGTACACTTATATCTGGTTCACGCTCTTTATCTTGCGACGTACTGGATTGTTGTAGCCGTGGTATGAACAGACGTTCCTCCTCGCGCTGTTGAGGTTCTTTGATATTCCTGAGCAATTCAAACCGTTCTCGAGGTCCAGTTTGAATAGGCGTGAAGATTTTCGCGTCGTCATCATCCCCCTGCTTTGTTTGCTTGGTTGGGAACCTTGTGTCCGATGCCAGGTATTCTTGCGCAAACCCATCTCG